AGACGCCATTTTAAATCATCTTGTTTGAAAAGTCTGGGTATAAATTCCTCCGTCTACTACAAAATCATCAATCATCCAAAAAACCTCCCCTCACTAATTTCAACACATCTCACTACATCTCCTTGAAAACGAAAAGTGCATATTTAGTCAGACAATTTTTCCCATATTCACACATTTTCAAGAGTCACAAGTGCCTCTTCATCCTTCTCCACCCAATACCAACCTGCAAATGAAGGAAAGGTAGACGTCGAAAAAATAGAACGCAGTTTAAAAAAAAGAGAATCTTTTCAAATACAAATACACGAGACTCGAAACAAGTGGTGAACTCGTCTCGTGAACGTACATAACATATATATTGTCTATTTATTTTAGACGCCATTTTAAATCATCTTGTTTGAAAAGTCTGGGTATAAATTCCTCCGTCTACTACAAAATCATCAATCATCCAAAAAACCTCCCCTCCCTAATTTCAACACATCTCACTACATCTCCTTGAAAATGTGAAAAGTGCATGTTTAGTCAGACAATTTTTCCCATATTCACACATTTTCAAGAGTCACAAGTGCCTCTTCATCCTTCTCCACCCAATACCCACCTGCAAATGGGGGAAAGGTAGACGTCGAAAAGTAGAGGAACGCAGAAAAAAAAAAAGAGAATCTTTTCAAGTACAAGTACACGAGACTCGAAACAAGTGGTGGACTCGTCTCGTGAACGTACAACCCGAAGAATAGGGGCGGCAGTATTGATCCAGACACCCACCACCACCACAAACTTCTCCTCATCCCTCCTCTCGGTTTTTCGTGCCCACCCTTTCACGGACACACCCTCAGCCACAGGGGCCTCCGTGTCATGGGCGTAAAATCATCGAGTACCCCCTCCTCATCCTTGCACATCCCCGTGGTATCTGGGGTTTTGTGCGTGAGGGAGAGACACCAGGGAGACTGGGGTAAAATGAATTCCAATGGGAATACTCTCGCGTTACAATTGGCACAGCACCAACACATGGGATGCCTGAGTTATTTGATCGGGAAATGGCTGATAACACTGATGGACAATTGGTGAATTCATCCCGTTGGATTTTCCCCAGTCTGCAATATTATCGGTGGGAGATGGAATCGATTCGCTGGAAAGCCTTGAACTTTCACCACCGCCGGTGGTTATTGTTTTTAGCGACGTGGGGGGGGGGAGGAGGAATTCATTCACTGGGTGATGCCCTTTTTCCACACAACGGTCTTTGTGGGTTTTTTTTCGGGTGGTTAATGCCTCCAGTTGAACTCGCGCAGACTAGAATTTTTAGGTACAGTTCGTTTT